ACAGGTCAATCAAATATCATTGCAATCATGTTTATTGTCTTCGCAACATCTTTATATGCATGTTACAGCGATCTCTGTTAGCTTTGTTTATGTCAGGGACGTCCTGGAATGTCACATGATTATGACTTCTTAGTGTGTAACATATATGGACTACATGTGCATAGGGCGCCCTCAGGCTGCTCTTATGGATTGAAAACACAGCATCAGAGTATCCAGTGCTCATAATTATTACATCGACACATTTGGGTATAAATTCAATAAATATTATTCCTGTCTATAGAACTCTGATGTAAACCTATGAGAATCTATCAATATTTCTCCAAATCTGCAAATTGTTTAGCTAAAAGCCCTGAGGCACGTTGTTTTGTCAAGCGCTGTCATGACGACAGCACAGGATTTTTTTTTTTCAATGAGAGCGGCTGACGATCATAATTCATATTAAAGTTATCGACTATATTTTTCATAACTTCTGACACAAATTAAGACATAACTGTCAATATAAGTTTATCAGAATACAATAGTGGTCAAATACTGAAACTTGAGTCATATGATGTATAGTTTGTCACGGTAATAACATTAAATCTTATAGTAACTTTGAACTATTTAACCAAAAAACGCTTCAGTGCGCGGCACACTTGCAAAGTTTAACAGGTTTTAACTCTCACTACTTCAGCCAGTAGAGCACTGTATAATATGATAAGCACGGCGCAGCTGGTAAAAATAACTCAACGATTGTGTTGTCGCTCTAGCCGCGACGTTGCCACTAAGTTAGCTGCACTGTAGCTACGTTACCGTATTATTGCCGTTATTATAACAATGAGATAAGTACAGCACATGTTATGAAAAATAGAATTTAAAGACCTTTTAAAGTGAATTCAGTAATTTTCTTCTAAACACATTAAATAGGTCATAATGTATTTCTCAACAATGTGTAAAAAGCATTTCACCCATTTTGTTCATTTCACCCTAATTTCATGAACCTAGCGTTATTTTTAATCATTTCAAACTGTCTGGGTGGTTAATAACACTTTCTTCTTTAGTCTGACAAACTCAAAACACATATTTATTTTGACTTTACAAGTTAGATGTTTTCGCGATAGTGTAGCTAACGTACATGACAACCACAATTACCACAGCTAACACTAGTCTCAACGTAGCAACTATAAGCCATGGTAACTTTTTCAGCAAATGGTGCTAAACTAGCAACGGGGACATGGACACAGAAAATATTACATTATACCAACACTGAAAATACTCGCTTACCTTGAATACACGACGAAGTTGCACCGAGGAAGCACAGGCCAAAACGGATCGAGCGCGAAGTGTCGGTTATTTCAAATGACTGTTGTGAGAAAATTCCAGAACAACTGCAGGGGGGAGGGGCCGAGGGGGGACCCAGAACATGGGTTACTCTTTGAAAAATAACCCAGAAACTCAAACAACCCAGGAATTGGGTCAAAATATTAGCCCTATAACCCAGAAAATGGGTACTCTCTGAAAAAATAACCCATAATTTTAACCCAACACAAATAACCCAGAAAATGGGTTGAAGAAATAACCCAGGAGTTTTTAGAGTGTACCAGTGTCCATCTGTTGTTGCTCCTTCAAATGTGGCAAACAGCATGTAATTGGTGCAATACGGCTAGTAGATGAAATTTGTGATGGTACTGCATGTGATGGTACTATAGCATTATAATACAGGGAGTCAGTAGCCCCTTTCACACATACAGTCTACTGGTAAATTATCAGTAAATTACCAGTAAGAGATCATGTGTGTGTGAACAGGACCTTTTCAAAAATACAGGTAAATTGGTTCCAGCAATTTACCAGTAAGGGAAGTTGTAACATTACTAGTAAATTACCGGTAATGTGCTCTGTGTGAACGCAGAATGAAGATTTACTTCGTACGAGACGCTGACATAAGACGTTTGCTTTGGGCCAATTATAAAGTTCTTAGAGATGACGTGATTACTTGCACTGTTTACAGTAAACTTTTTAATAGTTTTTCTATGTAAATATGCGCTAGATTACCATCTTTGACCGTTGAGCCACGTTTCGCAGCTTTTTCAACGTGTCGCGCTCGACCCAGCCTTCTTTTTCATTCATCAGTGATGCGGCTCTGCAGTTGGATAGTCTACTATTATGCGCACCTCGTGCTTTCAAAAGCAAAAAACGCGTTCTGTTTGATCATCCCCTTATGCCTTTCACTCAGACATCAAAAAATGTTGTTAAGTTGAACAGATAGTGAATCTAAAGGTCTTCTCCTTGTGCTGACGGATGAAGACAACTGCACGCTGTTAAAAAATCACTTCCGATGACTGACAACACAGAATTTACCGGTATTTTGGAGCTATGTGTGAATGGTCTCTTACTGGTAAAAAGCCAGAATGCCGTTGCTTGTGTGAACAGCATATTTGTGTATTTACCTGTAAAGTCATTCTGGAATTTGTACGGTAATTTACTGGGATTGCTGTGTGAAAGGGGCTAGTAAGTCCGTTGTACGCAAGTACGAACGCTAGTAAGTACGAACATTGAGCAGAGCACACACACACACACATGGAATGGAGAGCTTGGCGCACACACAGAGCGAAAAAGTGAAACCTGATCGCCGAAAACGGAGGGGCGGGGCGGCATTTTTTCTGGCTTTTTACTCTTTCGGCCCAAAAAAAGAAAATGCCATTTTCGGCCGATAATTTTTGGCGGCCGAAATTTCGGTGCATCCCTACTATATATAGGTGTGTTTGGATTGTTTTAAATAAAAAAATTAATATATCATAGAGTTTTTTGTGGTGGTGGTAAATTAAACGATGTGTAGTGACGTCACAATCGTGTTGCATTGTGGTATATGGAGCTACCTAAAGTGTACATGTGAAGTAGACTCGCTACCTCGGTCAAAATCGAAGGGCCGAGGGTCTGTCCATATAAACTTTACTTGTCCACTTCGTGAAGTGCACAATGCACTTCAGAACGCACTTCAAAATGGTGGCGGGGATTCCACCAAGGGGAAGTTTGCAAGTGCTTGTCTAAAAGTGGAGTGGAACGCAGCCAGTGAGTCAGTGAGTGAATGAGTGAGTGAATTTTAGTAAACTGACTTTATGAAGAAGACCAAACTTAGACTTGACATGCAATGGCTGAAAAAATCCTGATTTTTTTTTTATTTTACTTACAATATTTGTGCAAAAAGAGTAATTATCAAGCATGTTTTTTGAACTTACAATCAAAAATGAGCAAAGCGTTCTGTGAATGATAAAGGCCATATTTTGACCATATTTTAGATAAAGTTGTTACTCTAAATGTGACAAGTAGCATGGCATTTACCTCTCTCAGGGAGCAAGCATTGATGAATGCGTTCTGTGTACAAATGCCATTCATCAGGTATTGAGCACTGTTAATTTAATGTATTATATTTTGGCTCTTATATTTGCCTATTTGGGTTGGCATTTGCCATTTAAAAAAAAATGGTGTGTACAGTTAAGTTTGCATATACATAGTGACAATTAAATTAGATTTTACTTTGTTGCTCTCTTCTAATACACTGTACATTCAAAGGACTGTCAATTTAATGTTAATTTAATGTAATTGATTATTTAAAAAAAATAACAATAACAAGGAATTCAGTAATAAGGGATTCTCCGGCCATTTGAGAAATTTGATTGATTAATTGAATGAATCATACCATTACTAATTTTAATATTTTTTAATTGATTGACAACCCTAATATTTATTAGTTGTATATTGATACTAATATTAATACTAAATATATAACAATACATTCTTTTTAAAAACTGTCTGTTACATTTGTATTTTCCTTTACAGAAATGGCACCAGAGCTGGTCACTTTGTTACAGAACTATGAAGAAGAAAATTAAACCAGAAAAAAAGGCATTGGGATTAATCGCAAGAAAGAAAAAACAAACAAAAATGATGAAAGATATTAAAAAGAAAAAAGGAAATGCAATAACACGGAATTTGATATATCAAGATGAGGCAATGAGAGGATTGTAGAGTTATAAAACAAAGGAGATTATAGGAGAACAAAAAGTGAAGAGTAGAAGAAATATATTTTGCTGAAGGAATAGGGATAATTACATTTCGTATATTAGAACTACACGACTGAGTGAGGAAAGATGTTCTTGTAGGAAGCGATGGGGGTTGGGGAACATGGGGAAATCATCTCTGGGTGACCTGATGGCCATTCCTAGTTTAATGAATTGTGCCGAAGAAGGCTTTGCTGGGTAAATGGAACTTATTACTGTACATACCATGAGGTCGTAGAGACTGTGTATATGGTTATTGCCTGTATCAAGACCTGTTTTATGTTGCATACTATCTGTTCGTCTCTAATTGCCTTTTAAAAAACTACCAATAGTCCCTTGCTGCAGTTAGGAATGCATGCAAGGTTGTTCATACATCATTAGGAATCCAAACCTGCATTTAGTACTTCAGAAAATTCATTTTTATCATGGATTTGAAGAAGGATTAAAGGAATGTCATGGAATGGAATTAACCCCTGTATGGAACTAATCGTTTGATATAGTCTATGCATTGGTGCATGAAGGCATTGCCTCTTTCAAAGCCGATGTCTATCTGCACTTTACATAATCTATGTGAACTCATTAATATAAGGATCCCTTGTGGCCCTTGGTCAAATGTCAAACATTATTTTCAGACTTGCATTTTTCCCAATACTGCTGCAATACATGTGCATAGAGAATCTGTGAGACAATGGTTTAAAATTGAAGATTTTTGTCGCAGTTCAGTTTTGTCGCATATACAGTCTAGAGATTATTAGAAAATAAACCCAAGTAGGTTGATCAGTAAAGTAAATTCCTATGAATATCTGACTGCTGAATGCTGCGATTGACAGAATCGAGTTAACTAGAACGTTGTGTTAACTATAATTAACATACTTGCTTTAGGATCCCACACAAAAGAAAATTGTTATGTATTTATGCTGATCTTAAAAGTGTTACCTTCGTCTTCTCTTCCTGTCTGTTCAGGTCAAAGGGATTGGCAGAAGAATGCTGGCGCCAGGTGCCCAGGGGCAGGATGGCGTTGTGTTGGCAGAGAGCTGCGGTTGTTAGATGGTTCCTCTTGATGCTCCTGTGGCACTGGGCACCTCTGGGCCCACTGAGCTGGTTTCTGGCTCTGGCTGAGCGTCTGGACCAGAAGACCTCACCGTTGTCTTCCATCTCCGGCCGGAGCAGCGGCCAGCTGGACTGGCTCCTGTCTGATAAAGGGCCCTTCCATCGCTGTCCAGAATACACTGAGTTCAAAGAACGCTTCCAACAAGGCTTCTCCACACGCTACAAAATCTACAGGTTTGTGCTGTGATGATTATATTATTAGTTAAAATATTCAAAATTGACTTGAGCAAAATCAGGTCCCATGACAGATTCTGAGAAACCTGCGTGAAATATAAAATCAACTCAAATTCAATCAAAAAATTCCAAAAGCCATTTTTATCAGCTCCACTATGTTTTTGAAATGTCTCTTATGCTGACCAAGGCTGCATTTATTTGATAAAAAAAAAAACAGTAAAAACAGTAATATTATTAAATATTATTACAATTGAATAAATATTTTAATTTGTAATTTCAAATAGATTTCTATATTTTAATATATTTTAAAATGTGATTTATTCTTGTGATGGTACCGTTGAATTCTTCAGTGTCACATGATCCTTCAGAAATCATTCTGATATCCTGATTTGGTGCACACAAACATTTATTATAATATAATTATTATTATTATCACAGATGAAAACATTTTTTTTTTTTTTTTTTTTTTTTTACCTTTGTTTTACCAGGAACTCTCATTGTCTCAAGAGAGACCTGGCCAAGGTAGCAGCCATACATAAACACAAAATATTAAAATGCTACATACATACCGGTACATACATACATGCATACATACAATCATACAATAATCATTGAAACACAATGGCCTCTCAAGGAAAACAGTTGTGCTGCGTAATATTTTTGTGGAAACCGTGATACATCTTTTACAGGATTCTTTGACAAATTTGATGAATAAAAGTTCAAACAAACCTAACTTATTTTAAATAGAAATAATGTGTACCAAAGTAAAAGTCTTTAATATCACTTTTGAACAATTTAACCCACCCCTGCTTAATAAGTGTTAATTTCTTTTAAAAAAATCTTAACAACCCCCAAACTTTTGAATGATAATGCTAATATTACCATATAAGTGGAAATCTGATCTCAAATGGGATGTTTTGCTGGTAAAAAAAAAAGCCACTTTATTTTGACAAGGAATTAGTTGCAGGAGAAAGTGTTTGTGTGTAAATTGCAGTGCATCAAATCATAAATTACATAAATTATTCTAAATGAATGAATCAAACCTACTGACAAGTCCTGACAATTTGCGGTTTTCCATGTGTTATTCTTTTATTACATCTCTGCAAGTGAGGAGAGAAAAATAATGTATAATGGTGAAATTACTCATATTAATGTTAACATAGAGAATCAGAAAAAGTAAAAAAAAAAAAAAAAAATTAAAAACCGTTGAAGGTTGATTATGGTAAACCATGTTAAATGTAGTTGACTACACTAGGTAGGTGAAAACGTTATAAAACTACCTTGAGAAATTATATATATTTATAAAGAAATCTTGTTAATGAAAGGTGTTTGAATTCTGGATTTCTGCACAATAGTGTGGGGACAGATTTTGTGCAGACAAACTGACCTTTCGTCAGTCTTGTGATGGATCAAATAAAGCACAGTGAGAAGTCCTGACAACATCAAATCAGGAGAAAATGAAAAAATAAATGAATAAAAAACTGACATCTCAGTTGTGATGATGCTTCGATTTATTGCAGATATCATTAAGTGGACAGGTTCAGTCACATTACAGAAAAGGCCATATCGCATGTAGTGAAGACTTCATCTTCTCTGATGCTGTCTTCAGTTACTAAAACCAACACAACAGAACGACATAATGTTTACATAGTTGACAGTGTCCATTTACATCTGCACTGACCCATAAACGATGATGCCCTAGAAAAAGACCTATGGGATCAAAATCCCACCAAATGTATTGTGGCCACGGATCAAAAAATAAGCGTGATTCAAAAATGTAAAAACACGTGTAAAAATATATTGCACAAACTGAAAAAAATAATGCGAAATTATCAGAAAAGCAAACAACGTGGTCACGGATCAAAATATAATAAGCGTGAATCAAAAAATAACAAGCATGAATAAAAACTTTATACACATTAAAAAAAAATTGCACAAAATTTATGTTAATGTTTTTCACTCTTCTTTCCGTGTTCTGCGCTTACTCTTCCAAATGTTGGGCGGGCTTAAGCATCTCCATTGGTCCTCTAGTTCTAGATTGACAGCTCCTCCTCTAGCCAATCAATCGAAGAGGGGAGTTGACGTCACTCCAATCCGACTCACGCTACTGATGCTCACTCATACAGGGGAGGGGACATATACAAATTCCTCTTTTTTGAGATAGCCTACATGAGAATTTTATTGTGCACACTGGTGATTGGTGTTAAACAATATCACTTGGCTCATGATGTTAATATGCTAAGGCAGCTCTAAGTGAAACATCCTGCAATTTTGAAACTACATTTCTTTGCAAAAAATAAGTTAAAAACGGCCATTGTAACCGTCTGAAGACTTTAGGTCAACTATACACTGTCAACTATACACAGCCTACCTTTTTTATATAGGGTCTATATATTTTATTTAGTTCCATTACAGACAAGGCGCAAAAAGTACAAGACAAATACAAGGCATGTGTGGTACAGTTCAGAGTATGTAAAACAAAGAACAACAACAACTCAAATTTAAAACGAACATGCAGCCTTTGTAAAAGAAAAACTAAAAAAAACGCACAGCCTACCTGGCGATCCGTTATTGTTAAATACGCCATCCTCATATGTTTTCTTAATTGTTGTTGTTAAGCGATCATATATGTAGCCTGGTAAATTAATTCTAAGACTAGATGTAGGCTACCATTTGACAAAAGATTAATGAAAATGATAGTGTACAGAGGAGATTACAGAAACCAGGTGGATTTGATATGCAGTGATTTATTACATACTTATTGTGTTCATTTACATAGCTACATATTTGCATTTACATCCTAAAGTAATGTAAATATTTACATATTACTTTAGGATTAATGTTTTATATATAGCTTACATTTTTAATACAGCAACATGAAAATTATTGAAAAGATCAGTGATAGGCAACGTCGTTTCTGGAGTGCCGCTGTAAACTCTGCACCCAGGACCGACATTGCCCTTCCATAGATTAAATTTTGAAAGTAAAACGGCCAGTAAGGTGGTGGCAAGTTATTGTCTTTATGAGTGAGTCATTCATTCAAACTTCTCGTTCAAATCGGGAATTCTTTGATGAAACACTCAACACTGTTGTGTGGCTCGGAGGAGATCGGCGCTCACCAGAAGTAAGGCCAGGGCATTAAAGGTGAATATGATGGATCGTCAGACAGGCACAACTGTGACAGGTCGTCGTCGTTAGGATGACTAATTTAACTATAATAACGGATCGCCAGGTAGACGTATATAGCGGTAACAGGTCGAGTTGCAGGCACACATATAGTTTAACATTGTCCTGCCACGGAAAGATTTTTGCCAGCTGAGCTGATGGTTATCTTCACCTGTAGCTACCATAGACAGTAAAAGAAATGGACACAGCGACCCCATAGACTTCAACGGAGAAAAGTGAAGTCAAATAGAAGCACTCACTTCATGATTGCCAAGCACACTGCGCATGCTCAAACTGAGCTTGAAGACGTAGTTGTGAGGTGAGCAACCTGACTGACAGTTGTACGTCTTTCTAGTAGCGGTGCCAAGAGGAATCTGAATCATTCCCTTCTGAATCTTGCAGAGCCGGAGATCGTGAGTATTAGCTGTTCATGAGCTCGCAGCAGGAGCAACTTTATGACTCTCTATGGGCTTCTCCCTTGACTTTATGCCTCCACGTCCCCCGATTGCGCGTGAGCTTCTACTTCTGTCTTTACGGTAATTTCTCTTCTAAGCGACAGAAAGTCGCGTGTTATGACGCAATCGTTAGCCTATTTTTACAAAAACTGCTTCTACGGGGCCATAACGTAAGATACAAGGTAATGGAGCATTTTATACATTGTCGTGTTTCTTTAGAAATAAATAATGGACAAATGGAGTCTTTAAACGTCTCAGATGTAAAGTTATTCGCTGTCAAAGTGACGCAAAAATGAATGGGAGTCAATGGAATGCTAACAGCAGGTGAAGGCTTGTTAGCCGATGGCGGCGCCCGGGGAGACTTCAGTTTCCGGCTGGTGGATTACCCCCTTGGTAGCTACGAGTGAACATCAGTAGCCATGAGTCGCATTGGAGTGACGTCAACTCCCCTCTTCGATTGATTGGCTAGAGGAGGAGCTGTCAATCTAGAACTAGTGGACCAATGGTGACGCTTAAGCCCGCCCTAATTTACATGAAACTCGAACTGCAACATTTGGAAGAGCAAGCGCAGAACACGGAAAGAAGAGCGAAAAACATGAACATAAATTTAAGTTTCGTGCAAAATATTTTTTTATGTGTTTAAAGTTTTTATTCATGCTTGTTATTTTTTGATTCACGCTTATTATATTTTGATCCGTGACCACGTTGTTTGCTTTTCTGATAATTTTGCATTATTTTTTTCAGTTTGTGCAATATATTTTTACATGTGTTTTTACATTTTTGAATCACGCTTATTTTTTGATCCGTGGCCGCAATACATTTGGCGGGATTTTGATCCCATAAAGACCCCCTCCCTAAAATATAAATGCAGCTATATATTTACTTAAATATATACTGTGAAAAATAAAGATTGTAACAAAGGCACACCATGTATTTGCTATCAACTTCTAAGGGCTGGGATATTCTTTGAATTGGTGCCTTTTGTAGTAAACAAACGTGGATACTTTGTATAAAAGTGTATCCACTCTAGCTCAAAAATGCAGTGAGTTACAGATGAAGTAAAAAGTCACAACCATACCCTGTCTCCCCTATTCAAATAAAAAATGGTTATTTTAAACTCTAATAATATTTTACAATATTACTATTTTACTGTATTTTTAATCAAACAAATGCAGCCTTGGTAAGCATAAGAGATTCCTTTCAAAAACATTTTTTCACCCCAAACTGTTAAATAATGTCTGTCAATGTTATTAATACATTATTACACAATTTTTCATGGTTTGAAAACCCCTGCACTACACTACACCGTCTAGTGTGGTAAATGTTCCCTGGGAATCAAACCTGTGACCTTGCCGACACGGTGGTGATTATTTAGCTGTT